AATGTACATTAGCTCTATTGTTTATAATACATTATGTATTTTAACAATTTTGTTCAAAAAAACCATATGATTTCTTGCTTTTGATACTTTATATGAACTAATTATTATTGCCTCATTGCTATTATATATGTATTTTAAGTAATTTTAAAGGCTATTGTTCACTTACATCTATTTTTATTACCACAAAAAATTTATTATAATTATAGGGCACTATGAAATCCGTTTTATTTCCAAATTCAGTTTTTTCCATTTTTCTATACTCCGTTTTAATGGTTAAATTAAATTTTATTAATCAAAAAGCCTGTCTAATTAATTGAGTTTTACAGTTTTCTCTTTACCAAATTCTGTTTTCCATTATTTTCTGGATTCTATTTTAATGGTTCCCTAAAATTTTAATAATCAAAAATAATCATCTCCAATTTATTTTAAGTATTTTTTTTTTCCAGAAATACTGCACATTTACATTTTTCTCCTAAATAAATTCTGGTAAATAATATTTCTGGTAAATACTCCCTTTAAAAGTGTTTTTTGATTATAATTTTATTATTAGTAGACTATAACATGTGGATATGTTGTCATTCTTACACTATAATACTGAACTTTGATTTCAGTGATTTGGACTATGAGATGGACACTTTCTTCTTGCATTTATTTTGCACTTTACTTTTGGATTTCATTTGGTTTAATGAAATATAGTTTAATAAAATATTCTTAAGTAAAATAAAAAAAAAATTTTGTGCGGGAAATTAATCATTTAGATTAATCGATAGATTAATCAAAATAAAAATAGTCATTAGTGGCAGCCCTAGTCATATCGCTACACCATACAATTTGCAGAAAGAGAAAGCTGAAAAAGTTTTGAGGTTAATGTGCTACAAATAAATCAAGCATAAAGCTTGAGATATTATTTTAACCTGGTGAAATGTAAATGACACAGGGCACGAAACTATATTAGTTTCTTTTTTTAAATCAATCTAACCGGACCATAGAACGGGACTTTCAAAGCCTTGACAACGTATCCGGGAGATAAGTCAGTAAATTTGAATGAAATCACAGGCTTCTCACAAGGTCCCCAGATAATACTAATCCCGTGCGAATAGGGCTTAAGGCAAGTGTGAGTACGAATGATCTTATATATCTAATTTAATTGAAGTGGGATCAGTTACAATCAGCTGAGCGTCTGCCTGAACTATGCTTGAGCTCCATTCATCACTCAAACTACATTTAGTTCTAACTTTAATAAAGTTTAGGCTTTCATCTAATGCCAATATTTAGTTTTATTTCAAAAACTATTTTTAATAGTTCATTTTATTTTGTATAAATTGATCCGTGTGTTTGAGGAGAAACTATTTGTTTGTCAAATGGCAAACAGCAAGAGCCTGTTTAAAACAGTATTTTTGCAATTCTGAAATTACATGTTTCACTTTTAACCTCATAAAACAAAGATATTCATAACACATATGTAGACAAAGGGGCTTTTGGAACTGTATAATGTACCTTTTTCTCTCTAATGTGAAGTCCACCTCTCCAAATCTCCCTCCCATCCACACAGCTGTGAATCACTGATGGAGAACATAAGCGGGCATCTAGGTACAAGGCTGCTTTCTGCCACCTTTACAGTGTAGAAACAAGAAAAGCATGGCGATTATGAATAGTAGGACTCATAAATAAAAAGGACAGGTCTATTATCTGAAGAACAGAATATTACAATAGAATATTAGATTTTACCCTGCACTGTGTTCAGTGACCATGATCATCTGTGCCGAATGCCATGCCCTCATGTGCTTCAAAGAGCCAATCACAGGCAACATATCCTTCAACCCCACCTCCTCATCCACACAGAGAACAATAACATTGAGCAAAGACTTCCCTGCAATCAAGAACAAACATCACATCAATAAAAAAAAGCATACTCATAGAGAAACAACAGTAACACTATGATAACGTCATTTGCTGTTAGCAAATGTTCTCAAATGTGTAAAACAAAATCAAGAAACCACTACTACGATTAGAACTTTTTAACACCCAAAACATTTTTAATATTATAAAATGGTACCTGGAGGAGGAAGTTTGTCTGCTAACTGATGAAGACCTTCAGCTGCCTCTTCAAATAGTCTATCATGATAGTCCATCATCATGAAATAAAAAAACATTGAGCAAAGACTTCCCTGCAATCAAGAACAAACATCACATCAATAAAAAAAAGCATACTCATAGAGAAACAACAGTAACACTATGATAACGTCATTTGCTGTTAGCAAATGTTCTCAAATGTGTAAAACAAAATCAAGAAACCACTACTACGATTATAACTTTTTAACACCCAAAACATTTTTAATATTATAAAATGGTACCTGGAGGAGGAAGTTTGTCTGCTAACTGATGAAGACCTTCAGCTGCCTCTTCAAATAGTCTATCATGATAGTCAATCATCATGAAATTTAAAAAAAAATTTAATCTAAATAAATGTAAATAGGCAAGTGTCAATAATCATTTTATGAAGGACATCAACTAATCCCTGAAAAATGATTAAATCGTTGGTCCGACGAAGTTCTTCAGTTCGAGATATTATGGGACAACATTATCAATCTGAATCTCTCACTCTGCGTGGGACGGGTTCTCTGTGAGCGCGCTCCGTTCCTCTTGCTTCTGAAGGGCAGCGATGCACCTGTCTAGAGCAGACAGCTCTGATTCCTCACTCTCACTGCGCTGGGAACACAGTTCTTCCCACTCTGAGCTGCACCACTGGAAATACACAGTAAAGAGTGTGTGTGTGTGTGTGTGTGTGGATGATCGGATGCACTATACCAGGGGTTTTCAATCTTTTAGATGAGAGAAACACATTAATATGATCATCCTCATGCAAATGACTAACATTTAAAAGGCAACTATGTCCTTTCATATATAAGGACCAAATTTATACTAAATTAAAGGGTTATAATATGTACTATACTCATTTAAAATATTATTTAAAAAATATTTAATTTCTATTACCGGTAAGTTAAAATATTTTTTCTACTCACTATATTACTGTAGTGTTAGATGCATATTCATGATTTTAATCTGATTTGTATTATTTATTTACTTATTGTCAATCTAATGTTACCGTTTACATATTTCTTTTAATCTATTTACTGAAATAACATTTTAAATAGATTTTAACCTAATTTTGCATTTTATATCAACTCTTTAGTTATTTTTTAAATATTTTATACTTACATAATTATTTTAATCTAGTTATTCATTTAATAATTTACTGGTAATATAAGTATTTATTTTTTACAATTTTTAAACATTTTCTCTAAACTTTTCAGCAGACCCCAGATTGAAAACAACACTGATGATACATTACCACTTTGTAACCCATGTTTGTCAGACCCAGTTTATATCACTTGTAATCAATCTAATGTGAGAGTGAACTAAACAAAAAGCAAATATGCATATGTTAATTACCTGAGTTGTACCAAAACTGGCTTGAATGGCAAAGCACCATCTCTGTGGGGCAGGACTACCACTCAGAGAGCAGGCTAAATGGATTTAAACAAACACAATATCAAACTTCACAGCAAAACTAATTAAAAACGGAGAGGCAAACGAGGTTACAATGAATAAACCTACCTGGAAATGGAGAAATGCGCGAAAAATTCGAATTAGAAATATTCTTGAGGTTATCAAACACTTTTTGGGATTCATCAACCCCTGCAATAAAACCAATACATGTCGAAACCGCAACAGATAGTCAAAGCAGAGCTTCTGATATAACTACTGATATACGACGGCCTCTTACCGTTGAAAGAGCACTCTTTCTTCGGCTCTAGGTTGATTATAATAACTAGCACGTATCTGTCCATAGCTGTATGCTGCCGTGTTCATGGAAAATAATGTTAACTTGTCAGAGCACCACACAGACTTCAATACAAAACTAATTTACGCGCGTTTACAGCCAACACTGACGTTCGAAGATGTCGTGACGATGACGCGCGCGCTCCCAAAAATACAGTCGGTAGGAACATATTAAAACACGCTTATAAATAACAGTACATGGAGATGGGGGTGGACTAAAGCATAAACTGTTTTAAAAAAAAACATATTGTTTTTAAAATCCCATCATCAAAGTAAAAAAAATCTGAGAGCATTACAATTATAACTATTGAATATGGAACCACATTTTCATTCTGTTGTGCGGGGGGAAGTAAATTGCTGCTGTACCACTACAGCCACATTGAGGGTTCAATGCTCTGTTACACCAAATACACAAAATAATGATCTTTAAAAAAAGCATCATATGACCCCTTTAAACTATGCCATTTCTGGATATTGTAAATGGGATATTGCACATCATATTCTGTGTTTATGTTAAGGATTTCTGTCTTAAAAGGCTCGATCTAACATGAAAGGCTGAAACTTTAATCAGAATATTTATAATTGTATGAGTAACCATGTTGCAAAATTATTTTCCAAAGCTGTGATCTAGATTTATTCTAATAAATTCATGACAGGAATTACAGTTCTTCCCTTGATCTGAATGTCGAAAGCTGCTAGTGTGGCAGCTAATTCCAGAGAGATGTAAGGGGTCGTGACTTCTGACTCTGACAGGCTCTGGAATTGATACATTAGTCTGGAGCTGTACGCTGTACGTGTCTGCAGCTCACTCCCAGACCCTGCTGATGGTGCTTCCTTCCCGAGACATGCTGGGAGTTTTTAATGAAACTCTCCCTCTCTGATAGATGAATGAGCATAACAGGCCAAGAGATGAACATTCCCAAGCTGTGCAGTCATTCTGCCAGACAGCAAAGTCAGAGGAAGGAGGGGCTGTGTTTTCATTTACTGGATTTGAAGGAATTTATATTTTTGGCAAGGATTTTTTCATTTGTTCGGTTAGACCAGTGTGTAAATGTTCAACTGTAATTCAGTGCTGTATTACGTTCATCTAGCCCTTGTTTTTCGCCTCATCTTTAATAACATTGATGTGAACAATTCCTAGAAATTGTTCAAGGAGACAGTCATTAAAAATGCAGAATAAAGAAATTAATTAAGAGCAGTGGATGTTTAATTATTGACTGTCAACTGTATTATAATATTATTAATTACAAAATATAATATTATTTTTTAATTGTATACCCCCCAACAATTTTTTTCAAATGTATATAAATACATAAAAAATAATTTTTGCAATAAAAAACTAAATAAAATAAAAATAAATATTCATATATATATCATTAGAAATCTGTTAAAGATGATGATGATGATTATTATTATTTCCAAGTAACCGTTCAAGAAAACAGTTATAAAAATGCAGAATTAAAATTAAATTGTTAAATGACCGATTCCTATTAAAAGAAAATTGTGTTTTCTCTTTATAATGATGGGTGGTCTAATAAATTTAAGCACAGTGCTTAACAAATTTATGAGACTTTATTTATTGACTGTAATTGGGTATCTGAATTTAAAAAAAAAAAACTATTACTTTACTATTTTTCTGCCTTTCTTGTAAAACAGTAAATTCAAAAATAATGGATAACAACAATAATTGGATTTTAGCATTAGAGTACTGGTTCTTTGTCAAGTCAAAACTAATACGATATACTAATAAATGTACATAAACAAATGAATTAATCTATCTATCTATAGATATATATACAGTATATAACAAATTTATTAGACCACCACCACCCAATGTAAAGTCTGTGCCATAGCTGCCCTAAACTAACAGTAACACTACTGTGACTAAAGAGCTTACACATACTGGTGGATTAACCATTACAGAAACACAAAAAATCATTTTGATAATCATCAATACTGTTAGTTTAGGGCAGCTATGGCACAGACTTTACATTGGGTGGTGGTGGTCTAATAAATTTGATAGATAGATAGATAGATAGATAATTTGTTTATGTACATTTATTAGTATATAGTATTAGTTTTGACTTGACAAAGAACCAGTACTTTTGACACCAATACATTCCACTGTTGTAAAGCGCAATGTTTCCTCAGCAGGGGCTAATGTCAAGAGTTCAAGCTGAATGTGCAAATTTATCATGTACATATATACATGTCTTGTTCCCAGGTGATATTGGAGATCATGTGGTGGTCATGAACACCAGACACATCGCCTTCTCTGGAAATAAATGGGAACAGAAAGTGTATTCGTCTCACACTGGGTAAACAGAGCTCTCTCCTTCCACATTCTAGCTCAATTGAGGACAGTGAACATGCTTTTTATAATCTTTCATTTATGCCCTGCTCGTAGCTGTGTTTTCTTTGTGCTGACAAAGAGCAAAAAATAAAAAGGAAATCTGAGATCTGAACCACATGATTTACAATTTGCAATGGTGCATGTAATAGAAACAATATGCTGCTTTCCAAAATGTTTAGAATGTGACTTATAGGTCTGATTTGAAAAACTGAAGATCTACTTTTTCATCCCACAGCTACCCTGGATCATTCAAACAGCTCACCGCAGCCCAAATGCACAAAAAGGACCCAACAGCTGTGAGTATCCTTCTGTACATTTGGCTTTTGAACTGGGCATTTCTCTGTGACAAATTCAATTTTGCAGTGATTTCTACAATAACAATTTCCCCAACGTCAATCACAACCCTGCCACTGGTACAGACCTGTTCATAATTTGAGTCAAATTGCCTTGCACCTTGGATGGAGGTGAAAATTGACTTCATTTATTCAATTATGTAAATGATGCCAAATGTTTTTTAATAATTTCAGATAGTGGAAGTTGCAGAGCAAAATATTCCCTCGCAATCAGCATGACACACATTTGAATAGTAAATGCAGCGCACACCCAATATTGCCCAGTTCTCCGTCATTCTTTCAGTGCTTATCTGTCCTACTATTTTCCCAGTCTGTCCTTCACCGAACTAAAGAATTGTGTTCTCTCTCAACGTCAGAAAGATTTTAAAGTGTTCTTTCAAGGCTCAAACACCTCAACATTATTAAAACAGCAGTCTTTCATAGCCTGTCTGCTTCCAATATACAGCCCTACAAGTGTCACCTGCCGCTGAGGCACCTGGATTGAAAAACACCTTCTCTTCTCTCGCTCAGCCTATGCTGTGAATCACACCTTCGTGTTTTTGGAGAATAACAAATACCAGGCAGCTCAGATAATAGAAACAGCTTTGAGTCTTTCTCATTATATTTTTCCGTTGGATTAGGATGGCACTCGATGAAGCGGAAGTGCTCTAGATATGGAATATATTAGAGGAAGAATTATATTTTTTTTTTATGATGAAGTCAGAGCTGTGGCACAGTGGTTATGGCATGTTTCTGACACATGCAGGTGATAAAAGTTCAAGTCTGGCCTGTGCTTGTGTCATATTCCACTATATTAGTTTATTTAGAAAGGAAAGCCTGAAAGTAATATAAAAAATTATTTTTCACCACTGTAATGTGGAAAATGCATCCATGCTTATTTGTACCCAATACATTTCTTAAAGATATAGTTCACCCCAAAATGTAAATTCTGTCATCATTTACGCACCCTCAAGTTGTTCCAAACCTGTATGAGTTTCTTTTTTCTATTGAGCACAAAAGATGTTTTGAAGAATGTGTGTAACCAAACAGTTGACTGTAACCATTGACTTCCATAGTATGAAAAACAATACTATAAAAGCAAAAGGTCAATGGCTACTGTCGACTGTTTGGTTACACACATTCTTTAAAACATCTTTTGTGCTCAATAGGGATGTAACGATTAACAGCGAGCCGGTTGAAAATCGATTTAAATATGTGACGATTCAAATCGGTTGAGATGCTAAACAAATGGCAATTCAGCTAGGGGTAAGAGTTTATATCAGGGGTGCCCAAACTCGGTCCTGGAGAGTTTAGCTCCAACCCTAATCAAACACACCTGAAGCAGCTAATCAAGCTCTTACTAGGCATACTAGAAACTTCCAGGCAGGTGTGTTGAGACAAGCTGGAGCTAAACTCTGCAGGACACCGGCCCTCCAGGACCGAGTTTGGGCACCCCTGGTTTATATGAATGTATGTCTGAGGGGAACTTACTGTCTTTTGATGGTATTTTTTTCTTTTCCTCTTGCCTCTGTATAATGTATATTAAAGTTCATAAGTGCAGCGCTGCTTTGTTTACAGCGGAAACCAAGGAAACGTTTAAGCGCCGCCTGCTGGCAGAGAGTGAATCTGCGTCTCATTCAGCTCGTCTGCTGTTTCGGTTTCATGCAGATATTTTTTATGCATAATTTCACAAAACTGAAGTCAAACCATTCTGTTTTTGCTTCAAATCTCGAAATTATACAATGTAATTTAGAATAAAAACTGCTCATGTTGCATGTATGCAGCATCTTTGTTTGGATCATGATTAAAATGCAGTGGTTGCCTCTAATTTTAAACGGAAAGAGCACAGACAAAACCTTAGTTTGTTTATATGAAGAGATTTCTTTTATTAGTGTTATTTATTTGTTTTGGGGCTTGTTTTAAAATAAAAAAAGTTTTATTTACATTTACATTATATTTAAATTGTTATTTAGCAAACGCTTTTATCCAAAGCGACTAACAAATGAGGACAATAGAAGCAATCAAAACCAACAAAAGAGCAATAATTTACAAGTGCTATATTAGTTTATATATAATATATAGTGTTATATTTCAATTTCACAAAGAAACGTACAGTATTTTGTCCAAGCAATAATAAAAGGACACATTTATTTTATAATTTGTTTTAAATCTCATTTTGTTTAAAAAGAATCGCGAATCGAATCGTGAGTTGAGTGAATCGTTACATCCCTAGTGCTCAACAAAACAAAGAAACTCAGGTTTGGTACAACTTGAGGGTGAGTAAATGATGACATAATTTTCATTTTTCAACTATCCCTTTAAATTGGACCACATTAGGGCTTTTCACACTGCAATTAACCCCGTGTTATCACCGTTCAAAACCCTGGGTGAAGTGGGATTAAAACTACTTTTTACCTGGTGTTATGAAACCCTGGCACAGAAAGAAAAAATAATAAACCATGTGTAAATTATAATTATAAACAGAAGAAACTGTTTAAATCTTACCTTTATAGTCAAAAATGTCCATTCTGGAACTCTTGGTTGTAAAGTCGGCAATATATAATATGAGGATACACAATGCTAGTAAACTGGTTCAAATAAACAAGTTGCGTGCTGCATTTGTCCGATCAGTAACACTGACACCACAAATAATGAAATACGTTAACTCAGGGTTTAGGAATGTACAGTGTGAAACATCAGTGTATGATTAACGAGGATAAATTGTTAACCCAGGGTAAATTTTGAGCAGTGTGAAAGATGAAGCAAGATCAACCACGACTTTAGCCGGAGTTTAGAATGACCCAGGGTTAACTAGTTCTAGTGTTTCTTTCTTTGTTCCACTTCATTTATAGGGAGATGCAGAGTGTGTGCGTATCCAATCTCTGTCTGCTGTTGTTCACCTCCTTAAAGTAACCTTGACCATTACGTACCACAGTGACAGTCAGAGCCCATCCATATTCAAGGCACGCAAGCTGAAAACCCATTCAGGGTCAGCTTCTGTGGGACACAACTGAAGAAGTATAGTTCTGTGTAGGTGTTGTGCCGTGGCGCAGAAAAAGCCAACTCAAATTCAGCCTGTGCCACTCTCCACCCTCTCCAACATGCTGCTCATTCTCTGTCATTAACAAGATGAATGCTCGACTTGGGCTGAGTTACTCCAGTCGAGCGGGGAATGTATCGGGGATAATTGTGGATAATGATCAGAGGAAGGTGACGGAGTTGTGAAGAGCGATCACGCCCTTAGACAGCTTTCATCCATCAAACATCTACCAGTCAGAGGAGAGGGGGGAAAAAACCCTGATTAATGTCCTGATGAAAGAATGATGGGGATGTTGTGGATGGTTGGATGACGGGTTAAAAATGGACACTTGTGTATTCATGTGCCGTGGCATAAGCAAAGGAACTGATATTTATTGTTTAAATTGTTACCAGTGGAGTGATCACATTTGCTTAGTATTTATTTGAATTTAAAATTTCACAGGGGAATGATTGGCTTTTACTTTTTGGCGGTGTAGAAATAACACATCACAGACACATTATCCACCCTTTTTATTCCAATGTAAATAATAATAATAATAAAACCATAAAAATAACATTAATAAATGTTAAATTCATGTTATGTTTTTTTTATTATAAATTAATTGTAATAATTGTAACAATTTTAAAAATCGTAATATTTTACAATATTTTATTTTTATTTTTTTTACTGTAATTCAATGTCTTAGAATTAGGCCATTCGAATTTTCACCACCACCACCAAAAAAAAATGGTTTTAAGCCCGTTAAACAAAAATCCTTGCACAAACAAAAATCTCACTGGATTATTACAATTAATGGCAAAAGGAATGTTTGGAAATGCAGACGGATATTTCCTACTGACACACTACAGCAAAATATAGAAAATATATAGACTTAAAATACTAATGGCCTAAGACTTTTGTACAGTAATGTGTGCGTGTGTTTTGTTAATTTGTTTAGAATTTATTTATTTTGAGAACAAAAAAAGCAGAAATCGCCAAGTTTCCTTTAGAGAGACACTGACTGAATTTGTGGCCAAATCTCTGGCCTGTTTTCTTTAACTCCACAGATCATTAAACTGGCTGTGTACGGGATGCTTCCAAAAAACCTCACCAGAAGGACCATGATGCAACAGCTTCACCTCTTCCCAGATGATGTAAGCTCTCCGTTGATGCTCTGATTTATGTTCATTGATGCGCTGTCCAAAGCTTGACATGTTTGGAAAGTAGAAATGTGTCAGTGTGTTTGATGAATGTGTCAGTGGAGGATGGGATGTTTCAAATAAAGAATCTACATAATACAGTACTACAGCTGCAGAAATGGAGAAATTACATGATGGTAATACCCTACAGCACAATCACATCATATTTAAACCACATGAATCCATTTGATAAGTAAATGTTGATTTTTTTTTTTTTGTGATGTTGAAAATGATGTTTTTTGTTATTATTTCATATATTTATATATTTTTAGAAATCTCTTGAAAAGCCACCTCAAGTTCGGTCACATCAGAGAAAATAGTACATTTCTAAAACCAGATGTGATTTTATTTTTTTTTGTTATTAATTTGCCAAAACATTGTTCTGTGATTGAGTTACAGAACCCCAGTGGAAGGTTAGACAGGATCCAGTCAGACACTGGTCTCTGATCATAGTTCTGCAATAATATAATAATACAAATCACTGTGTTCCATTTCAGGTCCTTCCTGATGATATTCTGAGGAACCTGACAGAGGAGCTTCCTCAACCCAGAGAGATTCCTCGTAAGCTCAGCGAGTACACGCAGGAGGAGCGGGATGCTTTCCCCATGCTCTGGACCCCGTGAGTTTTTCTTAGCCCCTTTGTTCCTGCTCTGCCATTGCCATATTTCCTCCATGCATCTGAAGAGCATGAATCAGTGTTGTGTTAGATTTAGAGCATAGCTGAGGTGTCGTCCTGTGCGGATGGTCTGCTGAGGGGAGAGAGAGGGTGACTGATGTTTAATAATCCATCTGTGAAGCTGCACCTTTCTGGATGGCTGCTTTGCTGGTCCCCACACTGCAGACATCCAATCAAATTTATGAGAGCTGAGTCACTGGCTCGGAGGCCAGCCAATCACACACTGCCTGTGAGGTCACAGTGGGAAACTTTCTTTTGCACACTCATTTTTCACAGTTGCTTAGCTACTTTTCTGATAAAGTGGACTGGCAGTTTATTTCTTTAGAGTAGTGTTTTCCACCTTTTTTTTGTATTTTGTACCACCACAGCCCAATCAACAGAGTTAAAATACCTCTTTATTGACACCAGTATTATTCTGGATATCTATTATAAGTAAATATTATTAAAACTTAATTATATATTCACTACCATTCGATTTTCTCAATATTTGGATTTTATTTTTTTTGCACCCTCAGATTCCAGATATTCAAATAGTTGTATCTCGACCAAATATTGTCCTATCCTAACAAACTATATATCAATGGAAATCTTATTTATTCAGCTTTCAGATTATGTATAAATCTCAATTTTGAAAAATTGACACGTAAGACTGGTTTTGTGGTCCGGGGTCACATTTATGTTATAGAAGGTTTCTAGTTCAAATAAATGCTGTTCATTTGATTCATCAAAGAATCACATGATTTTTTTTTTCAAATTATGAAATAGTATTGTGTTTTCAATATTGATATTAAAAAAAGAAATGCTTGTTGAGCACCATATCATAATATTAGAATGATTTCTGAAGGATCATGTGACATGGTTGATGGCTGCTAATAATCAGCTTTGCCATCACAGAAATAAATTACATTTTAAGATATATTATAAAACCGTTATTGTAAATTATAATAATATTTCACAATATTACCGTTTTTACGGCATTTTTGATCAAATAAATGCAGCCTTGTGCATAAGTCTTATTTCAAAAACATTTAAAAAAATCTTAATGACCCCAAACTTTTGAACAGTAGTTCCAAATATATATACATTTAAATATATACACTGCCTGTCTAAGGAAAGTCTTAAAAATTTGACCGTACACATGAAAAATGGCCAGTTTCAGAGGTCATACATGCCAACCGAACGCATAAACACATTTCATTACACCAAATACACAAAATACTGTTCTTTTTAGCAACATCATATGACCCCTTTAAAAGTATTGACTCAGTAAGAAAAGTATTGTTCAGAAATTGCAATACAGTAGTTGTTTTATGTGCTTTTTTTCCCACTGTATTGACCCAACTAATAAGAATCAATCATTCAGAAATCAGACTTTATCTGGTTTATCTGCTTTTGTTTCACTAAAAAGAACCAACTCAATCACTGATAATCGGACTGCTCTGTTGCGCTGTAAATTCAGTAGCAGTGTTCCAAATTTCAGTTTGGTGTTTTCTAGTTGATCCTGCTCCAGTCCTGAGGTTCTACATCAAAAGTACATGTGGTCGTTCTTTGTATCGGTTAGTGTGGGGTCGCTGTGTGGCGCCCAGAGTTCATATTCCTCTCAAACAAACACTGAGGCAACCAACTGTGTCTCTTTATGCCTATATGGCTGCTTCTGTTTGTTGTCTCCATTGTATTATTTCACACAAGCCGATTCCTCTTGAGGAGCCACATGGAGCGTGTAATTAAAACATATCGGCGGGAAGGAGACGACAATGTGATAATGAGACGGGCAGATCTCCTGTAATTAAACTGAGGTAAAGCAGCGTGATGTTTGTTTGGTAACATCTGATTGGCTGATAAGTTGGTGAGTCAAAACATATTTTTCCTCAACAGTCTGACCACAGCTGTTGTAGATATGAAATTAAAAAGATTGTAAATTTAACTTGCTTCAGCATTTATAGGGCATTCACTGGCTGGCAGTGTGATGTGTCCCTAGGCTCGAAGATTTTCAGAGGCATTGCTTTACTTAATGTGGCTGAACCACAGCTCTTCCCTTCTGTGCCAAGAGATCTGAGAGTTTAACCTTATTTCACCCCTCATGCATCTCTGTCAACTTTTCCACGACATTCTAATTTATTGAGATGCACCTGTACTTTGGTCTTGATGACAAAGAAGCCAGTGTCTTGATACACATTTTTCAAATTTGAACTTTCTACTTGACACAAGCATCTTAAAACATGGCCCTGGTGTGCAAACCATGGCATAATTTAACTATTTAAAAGCATTGATTACTGTGTGCAACACTGGCCCTTCATTTACACAGAACTGAAGTCTAACTAGTCATTACCTAAAACGTTAAACTTGATTCTTTTGCTGCCTTTTAAGTACCAGTATTTCCTTCAGGAAATGTAAATTCACTTGTTTTCATTCTCTTGTAATAGAGTTGCTCTAATGAGAAACTTAGCTCCCAGCATGCAGTTGGCTTCTTATTCTATAGAACTCAGTCAACAGTGAGACGTCGTCTGAAAATAATGAAAGCTTCCATTATTGTTGCACTCTCAGAAATGATTTAACTGCTGAATTGGTAGGTGGCATGGTAATGGCTAGTTTACATTAATTACAAGGACTTTCAATCTAACACGATACAACAAGTTCAGCATGAAACTGAGTTTCTAATTGATTATTGATCTCAGCTGATCTATTCAAGGTTGTGAATTCTTATATATGTGTACAGCACATCTTTAATCTAAAGTAGACAAAAAAATGCAACATTCTTAGAGACACAGAATGCCTGCAGTCATCTAAAACACCAGTACATTTACAATGTATTTAACTCAATCAGGAGCTGCTTTGAATCCCAATCTCCAGATTTGCTGAACTGCCAGTTGTTTTACCACAGTACAGCACAAATATGCTGTTTTGTATGTATGCCAGTGCCTCGACAGCACAAACGTGAGTCTGAGGTCTCTCATATCTTTGTTTCTCAGACAGTGTTTGCCATGTATTATTTAAATACCTAGAAGAGAAATCCTCTCAGGTCTGTCTCTAAATGTTGGAAATGTTTAAAGACTCTCAGACATTAGATGAATGTTGCCTTATTTTTGTAGGTTAAATTTTAATTACATTTATAGGGCTTCACGTAATTTATTCTTTTCACTTCATGTGATTCATGTAACACTGAACTGATAGTGTAATGAAAGGATGCGTTTATTAACTCTTTTACTTTACTTTTAGTTATTTAGCAGACGCTTTTATCCAAAGCGACTTACAAATAAGAAAAAGTAATTAAAACTAAAAGCAAAAAATCTATAAATATTATGTGTATATACACATTTAAGAAAATAAAAGAAATTAGTACTGAAATAACTCAAATTAAATCAAACTAAAACTTAATAAAAAAAACCTATATAGACATAATAAAAAACGAATAAAATGACAACATTACTACAACTGTAACTAAAACTAAAATAGATAACTAATACAAATCAAACTACATTAATCAGTAATCCTAAAAAAAATTAAAATAACACCGAGCCAAACACACATGCTAAAATAACAACTTACTGACACATAGTAAGAAATGGTTATTAAAAAACCTGAAACCGAAGTGAAACGAGTAGTAGGAAAGAGGAGAAATAAAAAGCGATACTTATTAACTCATCTTGGCTTATTTGTTTTACTTTTTTTTTATTCAATAAGGACTTACATACGTGAGTTTAGGGACATTAATTTGACATTATTTCTTATATTTTAAGAACATATTCTTTAATTTTAGGATTTACTTCATTTTAATTCATTTTTTTGTAATGAATTTTAATGTAGCGTTTAGTTTTTAAATACAATTCTCAGTAAAATGTGCTGTAATCACTTATGTAAGTGGGTGTAGGGACATGAAAGTGGCAAATAATCATGTTAACAAACTTTTAACATCACGTTAAAACTGAAGGCTGGCAGGCTAATAGAGTCTGAAAGTACCAGATGGTACCTATTTATAAATTATCTGAAGTTTTATATATATATATATAGCCTAAATTCACAGATAAATGATTCTTTTTTTTTTTTTCATTATGATTCAAACTGCAAAATGCCCTTCAGTGTTAGACATGGTAATATCAGCAGTGATCAGATGCCATCCCGATGCAGCACTTATGATGGTGACAAGGTGACACTGTTGCCATGGTGATGGATGTGTCTCTGGGTGAGACCCTTAATGTGGGTCAGTGGCATTACCCTGCAGACCCTGCAGTCCCTCTTTGGGTCCGTCTCTGACTGGACAGTGACGGGGTGTTGAATTTTTAACCTTAAGATGAAATTTCCTCAGTACCAGATGGCATACCTACGTGTGACGTCACGGATACACTACTGCTCAAAGGTTTGGGGGTCGGTAAGATTGTTTTCAGTGTTTTTGGATGAAGTCTCTTATATGCTCTTCTAAGCTGCAGTTATTTGATCAAAAGCACAGTCAAATGTGTAATGGTGTGAAATATTATTGCAACTGAACATAACTGCTTTCTATGTTAATGCATTTTAAAATGTAATTAATTCCTGATGGCAAAGCTGAATTTTCAGCATCATTACTCCAGTTTTCAGTGTCACATGGTTCTTCAGAAATCATTCGAATATGCCGATTTGCTGCTGAAGAAACATTTATTATTATTGTCAGTGTTCAAAACAGTTGTGCTGCTTAAAACTTCAATTTAATGTGTCCTTGTTTAATTAAAGTATTCTTTTTTTTTTTAAATCCTCACCCCAAACTAATCAGTAGTGTAAATATTACTATTTTTTTAATCAGACTTTTTTTTTTAAGTTTGTAAACCACTAACAATAACACTGAAGTTTTAATTGTTATATCAATTAGAGGAAGCACTATGGGATGTCATGTCAAATTATGCAGTGTCTCTCTGCTGACATTCTGAAATTGCTCTTACATCAAGTGAGCACAATATTCTTATATTCTATGCATACATTAAGGTTATAGTAATCTAAGTGGGGGAACTTTTAATAAAAATTTAATACCGGTGGAAACAAATCACTATATTCAGTGATTAATTTTTTTTTGCTTCCAGGTTCAAAGTCAGAGGAGCACCTGCACACTGAATAGCTTTACAATATTGCCTACCCTCAGTTGACTGTGATAATGTATTTGTTGACTACAATTTGTTCAAATCAGACTGGAAGGTTTAAGTTCCTGTTTTGTTCCGTTGGTCATTAGCAACCATTTCAATCTTATCATGCCACAGTGTGCTTGAACATCGACTTCACTTTTCTGTCTATTGTGTGTTCACAGGCCAGAGGACTACAGGATGAAATGACCGTCATACAGCAGTTTTCCAGATTTTGCATCTCTGAACGGGAGTTTGGGACTTGGAAAGGTTTATCTTTTTTATATTGTTAATGTGAAATAAATGATGTCTCAAAATAATAAATATAAATAGTCCGTTTGTCAACTTTTGGTTACGTTTGATATTTAAGCACAAACATATAATATACCTAATATGAGATGAATTTAGTAGAGAGGTAGTCAAACAGTGTTTAGTCGTGACTGTGTGATAATAGAGCTCAGATTCTTTGGCCTTTGCTTGTCCCACAAATGGCTTTAACAGCCTCTCTGAAGCCTGATCCAGCTGTAATTCAACTGCCGCTTTGGTCTTAATTAACTTCATATGGCTCTATAAGCCCTTTCTGATGCTACTTTGGCCCTTTTTGAAGTCTGCTTAACTCATTGTGTTGGGATGGAAATGAAACGCCCTTGTTAGTCACTGGTGCCTTTTGTGATGTTGGCACCGTCATGTTCCATTTTTATGTAAAGGTAAAATCGAGTTTGCTTGTGAAATGTGATTTTTATGAAGAAGGAACTTCAGAGAATGTACCATTATTTAAGCTCATTACGCCAAACATGGTTTATTAAAAAGAGAATTTGTTATTTTAAATGTAAAATTACTTTTTTTAAATTAATTTTGGGTGACCAATTAGCACACGGAACAGAAAACCACAAAGGCCAGACGAGACATCATCTCGAGTCATTGTAGCAGTACAGTTTTATTGGTTACAAAAACAAATAATAAAGTAAAAATAAATTACTTTGTAGATTCAAAGATCTGGTGATGAGTCTTTCCACTGGCACCCGCTTCTCATGCAGTTCCATTCGTTCTCTGAAAGGACGGTAGACCACAGGCCTAACTTCCGTTTGTCAACTTTTGGTTACGTTTGATATTTAAGCACAAACATATAATATACCTAATATGAGATGAATTTAGTAGAGAGGTAGTCAAACAGTGTTTAGTCGTGACTGTGTGATAATAGAGCTCAGATTCTTTGGCCTTTGCTTGTCCCACAAATGGCTTTAACAGCCTCTCTGAAGCCTGATCCAGCTGTAATTCAACTGCCGCTTTGGTCTTAATTAACTTCATATGGCTCTATAAGCCCTTTCTGATGCTACTTTGGCCCTTTTTGAAGTCTGCTTAACTCATTGTGTTGGGATGGAAATGAAACGCCCTTGTTAGTCACTGGTGCCTTTTGTGATGTTGGCACCGTCATGTTCCATTTTTATGTAAAGGTAAAATCGAGTTTGCTTGTGAAATGTGATTTTTATGAAGAAGGAACTTCAGAGAATGTACCATTATTTAAGCTCATTACGCCAAACATGGTTTATTAAAAAGAGAATTTATTTTAAATGTAAAATTAATTTTTTAAAATTAATTTTGGGTGACCAATTAGCACACGGAACAGAAAACCACAAAGGCCAGACGAGACATCATCTCGAGTCATTGTAGCAGTACAGTTTTATTGGTTACAAAAACAAATAATAAAGTAAAAATAAATTACTTTGTAGATTCAAAGATCTGGTGATGAGTCTTTCCACTGGCACCCGCTTCTCATGCAGTTCCATTCGTTCTCTGAAAGGACGGTAGACCACAGGCCTAACTCTAACCATTGAGGTCTCTTTCACAGTGAGGAAAACCATTGGAAACGGGACCACAAGAGACACAGAAGGATGCCATGCTGAGCTCTTCTTTTATAGAAAAACACTTTGGGAGCTTTCACTGCATCCCCTGCTTGACACTTTGTCTTAGAAGACCATATGTAAAGGACGTTCACATAAATGTGTGGTAATACAATTACGATCCAGACAAAATGTGTGGTGTTACGCGGAGCGTTACTATGAAGTACTAGCGAAAAAATCAGGAGATTAGGTTTGGTTCAATAACGTTTTTTTAAGTGTGATTAAGAATTCAGCTTCTCATAAATAACTGCTAGTGATAAGAACATCAAAAGCGTCAACGGAGGTATTTTTTTTTCTCTCCATAAAATAACTTAATAGCCAGTTCCAGATCACTGCAAAATGCTGTAAACATCAGTGAAATTTGTAACATAGTAGATCACCAATTTGCACTTAAAAAATACACAAACTGTACAGACAACCCCCATTATCATTTACAAAAGATATGGAATACACAATTCAAAACCACTGCACTGCAAAAATCTTTTTGTTAATCAGCATTTTTGTTGTTTTTCAGTAAAAATATCTTTCTTAAAAATTACTTGTGGAACAATATTATGTAAGACATTAGGACTTGTTTTATGAAGAATAGATATTAAATTTTTCTTATAATTGGCAGGTTAAGCACATCTAGATTCAATTTAGTGAGGTTAATGATTGAAACATGAAAAAAAAATGCAAATGGGATTAGGAGTATAAATGCAATTATATGCATTTCCCTTGGGAAAAGGGGGAAAATCTATTTATAAAAAAAAATTCATTTACTATATATTTTCTTAAATGTATTATGACTATTATTATTATTAGAGAATACATACTGAATTGCTTTTATAAGAATACAGAATACATGTGATTCAATACATTTTGAATTAATTCTATAAATTTTGCTTCGGGTAAATTAACTGATACTTTTTAGATATTTTTACTGGACAGCCAGACAAAAAGTACTGATTTGGAATTTTTTTTTTTTTTAACAGTGTTCCTTTGTTGAACTTGCTTTTCATCTCATTGGCTACATGCAGCCTCACAAAAGACAGAAAAGTCACTGGATTAATATCGGCACAGTTTCATTTTCTAATCTCCACAAACCCACCCCCCATAAGGATGCATATAGCAGGCACTTTTCGGATTTCCCTCA